GCTGGAGGAGAGTGAGTTAGTTTTCTGTCTGGGAGCATGGAGGAAGCAGCCTCAGCAAAGGCTGTGGGGTTTAGAAGCCGAGACCCCTGCCCCATATCAAGGGGGGCTGAGGCCTCCTAGGCCTGCCTTGTAACCTGATGACATCTGTGCTGTGCTGTATCCTGGAGAAGCAATAACCCCCCTCTATTCTACTGGCTGGTGGAGTCTGTTCATGCCATTTCAGGGGTGCAGGAGATGGGGGAACCCCAACCCGTCATCACAGTGGGTGACAGGGGAGGGACCACGTGAGGATTACCTGTTGTGATCCCTTCCTTTGGGGCACCTGGCATTGGCCTCTATGGGCACACAGGACATGGAGCTCGATGGACCTTTGGTCTAACCCAGTTTGGCCGTTCTTATATTCTAACTTCCCCCTCCTCAATCACCACCCTGCCCCCCAATTACAACCACACAATAACCAGGGGCATTTCTAGCTCCACTTCATGGGGAAATCCTGTTAGGCCAGACTTCAGTGCCCAGTTCTGTGCGTGCCCCGGCAGCAGCGAGCTGTGCCCTGCAGGCACCTGCGGACTGTCTAACGCCCCGTGACAGCGCGGCTCTGAGCAGAGAGGTCCCAGGAGCTCATAGCAGCCTGCCTGGGCTTGGCGACACAGCAGCCCTGCAGCGACTCGTGCCCAAACAAGGGCAGAGCAGCTCCCCAGCGTGAACACGTGAGTGACCTGGGACACGCCCCCGGCTGGGCAGGGAAGGCATGCGCTGGCGTGCGAGCTCTGTGCTAGTCATTCCCTGCTCGTGCATGCGCTTCCCCTGCCCACAGAGTGGAGGGGTCAGGGGCTGAGGGGCACAGGAGGGCCGTACAGGGGATGAGTCGGCTTGGCCCAACACAGCAAGGCCCAGGCAAATGTGACTAGACTCCAGTGACCGGGCCAGGCTGGACAATCCCACCAGGACAAGTCACAAGTGCACCCTCACGCCAGGTAAGAGGGGCAGGGCCGGGTCTCACTGCTAGTCCTGCCCTAACCGGCTCCCAGCCCCTGGGTGTGTGCAGGGCAGAGCAGCTCCACCCCCCACGGCCCCAGCTCAGATCCCCCTCACTCTGATACTCGGCGGAGCCCTCGCTGATCATGGGCAGGAACTTGGACTCAGCCAGCTTCAAACTTTCCTCTTCTCCCTGGAAAACGGCAAAGCAGCGATGACTCAGATGAACTGGGCGGCCCTTGGGGCACAGCGAATGCGTGTGCCTGGTCCTGCCCAGAGCTATCCTGCAGGACCCTCCATCACGGTCCCCCCACCCCTCCACGTAGTGCCTGGTCCTGCCCAGAGCTATCCTGCAGGACCCTCCATCACGGTCCCCCCACCCCTCCACGTAGTGCCTGGTCCTGCCCAGAGCTATCCTGCAGGACCCTCCATCACGGTCCCCCCACCCCTCCACGTAGTGCCTGGTCCTGCCCAGAGCTATCCTGCAGGACCCTCCATCACGGTCCCCCCACCCCTCCACGTAGTGCCTGGTCCTGCCCAGAGCTATCCTGCAGGACCCTCCATCACGGTCCCCCCACCCCTCCACGTAGTGCCTGGTCCTGCCCAGAGCTATCCTGCAGGACCCTCCATCACGGTCCCCCCACCCCTCCACGTAGTGCCTGGTCCTGCCCAGAGCTATCCTGCAGGACCCTCCATCACGGTCCCCCCACCCCTCCACGTAGTGCCTGGTCCTGCCCAGAGCTATCCTGCAGGACCCTCCATCACGGTCCCCCCACCCCTCCACGTAGTGCCTGGTCCTGCCCAGAGCTATCCTGCAGGACCCTCCATCACGGTCCCCCCACCCCTCCACGTAGTGCCTGGTCCTGCCCAGAGCTATCCTGCAGGACCCTCCATCACGGTCCCCCCACCCCTCCACGTAGTGCCTGGTCCTGCCCAGAGCTATCCTGCAGGACCCTCCATCACGGTCCCCCCACCCCTCCACGTAGTGCCTGGTCCTGCCCAGAGCTATCCTGCAGGACCCTCCATCACGGTCCCCCCACCCCTCCACGTAGTGCCTGGTCCTGCCCAGAGCTATCCTGCAGGACCCTCCATCACGGTCCCCCCACCCCTCCACGTAGTGCCTGGTCCTGCCCAGAGCTATCCTGCAGGACCCTCCATCACGGTCCCCCCACCCCTCCACGTAGTGCCTGGTCCTGCCCAGAGCTATCCTGCAGGACCCTCCATCACGGTCCCCCCACCCCTCCACGTAGTGCCTGGTCCTGCCCAGAGCTATCCTGCAGGACCCTCCATCACGGTCCCCCCACCCCTCCACGTAGTGCCTGGTCCTGCCCAGAGCTATCCTGCAGGACCCTCCATCACGGTCCCCCCACCCCTCCACGTAGTGCCTGGTCCTGCCCAGAGCTATCCTGCAGGACCCTCCATCACGGTCCCCCCACCCCTCCACGTAGTGCCTGGTCCTGCCCAGAGCTATCCTGCAGGACCCTCCATCACGGTCCCCCCACCCCTCCACGTAGTGCCTGGTCCTGCCCAGAGCTATCCTGCAGGACCCTCCATCACGGTCCCCCCACCCCTCCACGTAGTGCCTGGTCCTGCCCAGAGCTATCCTGCAGGACCCTCCATCACGGTCCCCCCACCCCTCCACGTAGTGCCTGGTCCTGCCCAGAGCTATCCTGCAGGACCCTCCATCACGGTCCCCCCACCCCTCCACGTAGTGCCTGGTCCTGCCCAGAGCTATCCTGCAGGACCCTCCATCACGGTCCCCCCACCCCTCCACGTAGTGCCTGGTCCTGCCCAGAGCTATCCTGCAGGACCCTCCATCACGGTCCCCCCACCCCTCCACGTAGTGCCTGGTCCTGCCCAGAGCTATCCTGCAGGACCCTCCATCACGGTCCCCCCACCCCTCCACGTAGTGCCTGGTCCTGCCCAGAGCTATCCTGCAGGACCCTCCATCACGGTCCCCCCACCCCTCCACGTAGTGCCTGGTCCTGCCCAGAGCTATCCTGCAGGACCCTCCATCACGGTCCCCCCACCCCTCCACGTAGTGCCTGGTCCTGCCCAGAGCTATCCTGCAGGACCCTCCATCACGGTCCCCCCACCCCTCCACGTAGTGCCTGGTCCTGCCCAGAGCTATCCTGCAGGACCCTCCATCACGGTCCCCCCACCCCTCCACGTAGTGCCTGGTCCTGCCCAGAGCTATCCTGCAGGACCCTCCATCACGGTCCCCCCACCCCTCCACGTAGTGCCTGGTCCTGCCCAGAGCTATCCTGCAGGACCCTCCATCACGGTCCCCCCACCCCTCCACGTAGTGCCTGGTCCTGCCCAGAGCTATCCTGCAGGACCCTCCATCACGGTCCCCCCACCCCTCCACGTAGTGCCTGGTCCTGCCCAGAGCTATCCTGCAGGACCCTCCATCACGGTCCCCCCACCCCTCCACGTAGTGCCTGGTCCTGCCCAGAGCTATCCTGCAGGACCCTCCATCACGGTCCCCCCACCCCTCCACGTAGTGCCTGGTCCTGCCCAGAGCTATCCTGCAGGACCCTCCATCACGGTCCCCCCACCCCTCCACGTAGTGCCTGGTCCTGCCCAGAGCTATCCTGCAGGACCCTCCATCACGGTCCCCCCACCCCTCCACGTAGTGCCTGGTCCTGCCCAGAGCTATCCTGCAGGACCCTCCATCACGGTCCCCCCACCCCTCCACGTAGTGCCTGGTCCTGCCCAGAGCTATCCTGCAGGACCCTCCATCACGGTCCCCCCACCCCTCCACGTAGTGCCTGGTCCTGCCCAGAGCTATCCTGCAGGACCCTCCATCACGGTCCCCCCACCCCTCCACGTAGTGCCTGGTCCTGCCCAGAGCTATCCTGCAGGACCCTCCATCACGGTCCCCCCACCCCTCCACGTAGTGCCTGGTCCTGCCCAGAGCTATCCTGCAGGACCCTCCATCACGGTCCCCCCACCCCTCCACGTAGTGCCTGGTCCTGCCCAGAGCTATCCTGCAGGACCCTCCATCACGGTCCCCCCACCCCTCCACGTAGTGCCTGGTCCTGCCCAGAGCTATCCTGCAGGACCCTCCATCACGGTCCCCCCACCCCTCCACGTAGTGCCTGGTCCTGCCCAGAGCTATCCTGCAGGACCCTCCATCACGGTCCCCCCACCCCTCCACGTAGTGCCTGGTCCTGCCCAGAGCTATCCTGCAGGACCCTCCATCACGGTCCCCCCACCCCTCCACGTAGTGCCTGGTCCTGCCCAGAGCTATCCTGCAGGACCCTCCATCACGGTCCCCCCACCCCTCCACGTAGTGCCTGGTCCTGCCCAGAGCTATCCTGCAGGACCCTCCATCACGGTCCCCCCACCCCTCCACGTAGTGCCTGGTCCTGCCCAGAGCTATCCTGCAGGACCCTCCATCACGGTCCCCCCACCCCTCCACGTAGTGCCTGGTCCTGCCCAGAGCTATCCTGCAGGACCCTCCATCACGGTCCCCCCACCCCTCCACGTAGTGCCTGGTCCTGCCCAGAGCTATCCTGCAGGACCCTCCATCACGGTCCCCCCACCCCTCCACGTAGTGCCTGGTCCTGCCCAGAGCTATCCTGCAGGACCCTCCATCACGGTCCCCCCACCCCTCCACGTAGTGCCTGGTCCTGCCCAGAGCTATCCTGCAGGACCCTCCATCACGGTCCCCCCACCCCTCCACGTAGTGCCTGGTCCTGCCCAGAGCTATCCTGCAGGACCCTCCATCACGGTCCCCCCACCCCTCCACGTAGTGCCTGGTCCTGCCCAGAGCTATCCTGCAGGACCCTCCATCACGGTCCCCCCACCCCTCCACGTAGTGCCTGGTCCTGCCCAGAGCTATCCTGCAGGACCCTCCATCACGGTCCCCCCACCCCTCCACGTAGTGCCTGGTCCTGCCCAGAGCTATCCTGCAGGACCCTCCATCACGGTCCCCCCACCCCTCCACGTAGTGCCTGGTCCTGCCCAGAGCTATCCTGCAGGACCCTCCATCACGGTCCCCCCACCCCTCCACGTAGTGCCTGGTCCTGCCCAGAGCTATCCTGCAGGACCCTCCATCACGGTCCCCCCACCCCTCCACGTAGTGCCTGGTCCTGCCCAGAGCTATCCTGCAGGACCCTCCATCACGGTCCCCCCACCCCTCCACGTAGTGCCTGGTCCTGCCCAGAGCTATCCTGCAGGACCCTCCATCACGGTCCCCCCACCCCTCCACGTAGTGCCTGGTCCTGCCCAGAGCTATCCTGCAGGACCCTCCATCACGGTCCCCCCACCCCTCCACGTAGTGCCTGGTCCTGCCCAGAGCTATCCTGCAGGACCCTCCATCACGGTCCCCCCACCCCTCCACGTAGTGCCTGGTCCTGCCCAGAGCTATCCTGCAGGACCCTCCATCACGGTCCCCCCACCCCTCCACGTAGTGCCTGGTCCTGCCCAGAGCTATCCTGCAGGACCCTCCATCACGGTCCCCCCACCCCTCCACGTAGTGCCTGGTCCTGCCCAGAGCAGGAGCCTCCATCACGGTCCTCCCACCCCTCCGCGTAGTGCCTGGTCCTGCCCAGAGCAAGAGCCTCCATCACGGTCCTCGCTCCCTGCCTCTCACCTGTTTCTTGTCCTTGCCTTTCTTCGCCTTCCCTTCCTTGCTCTTCTCTTTCTCCGCCGTCTTCTCCTTCTTCTTCTGGCCCTCGGTTTCCTGCAGCTCCAGCTCTTCTTGGACCTGTGGGGCCAGTCCTCAGTGCCAGGGAGGGGGCAGAAGGCAGAGGCTGGGGCAGAGCTGGGACCTCGGAGTGGTGAAAGGCCCATAGGCCATGCACTGTTCACTGGAGCCAGTGACCTGGATCCCGTTCCCCTCAGCCTGGCGGCACTGGAGCCATGCCCCCGAGGGAGGAAAGGCCCCACTCTGCTGAGGCTCAGCAGCCTCCACCCCCAGTTCGGGTCCTGCCCTCCTACCTGCTCAGGCGTCTTTTCTGCAAAGAGGATGCTGGAGCCTCCAAGCTCCTCATCGGGGAATTCAGGGAAGCGGCCGGTCAGGTCACTGGGGAAGGAAAACACACATCAGCACTCAGCCATGAGCCCGCCCAGCAGCAAAGCCAGGCGCTGGTTCAGTAGCAGACCACTACCAGCTGGACTCTGGGGCTCTGGGCCAGGCGGGAGGGAGCCCAGGGAGGGACGGGCAGGCTGGGAAGGGTGCATGGATGGGAGAGGTCAGTGCCACAGGGAGACCCAGGAGTCAGCAGGTGGGCTGCAGAGCAATGGGGTGGGGAAGGGGAGATTGGGGCAGTTGGGCAGCAGGGGCATTCAGGAGCGGGTGAGGCACTGGAGGGGCAGGGAATGGGCCCAAGCAGCAGAACACACTCACTGGCACTCAATGAACCACTGCCGGAGCTGCTCCTTCATCTCCTCCTTCATGTCAGGTCCCTCCACCTCAAAGAGCCCTTCCCGGATGCTCACCAGAGCCTGCTGGTACTCGGCTTCGTAGTCAGCCTGCCTCAGGCGCCGGAACTCCTCCCCGAGCTGCGCCCGCAGCATGGCAGCCGGGAGACCAAAGGCCTTGGGGTCTGGGACCTGCAGGGGAGGACCAGAAAGAGGGGGGGCTGGAACATAGGGACACCCCTGCACTGACCTAGGGGGACCAGACATTGGGACAGCCTGGTAGTAACAAAGGGGCCTCGGAGAGCAGAGGTCTGGAGCACGGACATGGCCATGGGAGGGGCACTGGAACAGGGGCACTGCCTGCTGCTGGCTGGGGAGGGGGCGGGGCACTGGAACACGGGCACTGCCTGCTGCTGGCCGGGGGGGGGGGGAGGGGCCCGGGAACAGGGCAGCGCCCG